GAAAAATAATTATTGAGATAAATGAGACAGTAGAAACTTTACTTATTATTTTTATTTTAGGTATATTCCTTAACTTTGTTGATGTAGAGAGCTCATATCTTGATTTCAAAGGAAAGATAATTACACAATTTAATTGATTGCTATTTAATAGAAAAAATACCATACTTAAGGGTTTGCTTTGAGGGTTTACAAGGTTATACGGTGTTACACGATGCTGATCTGAGATTATCGAAATGACTTTGATTAAAAATTTATAACTATTGAAACTTATTGGTAAGTTATTATGCAAACTGTCCCATACAAATGTGCGGTTTAATAGAAATACCAATCTTTTAGCTTCATAATTTTTGAAAGATTGTAGAGGATTTTTAAGTCAAATCTAAAAATTGGAAATTAACTATTTTAAGTAATTTTTTGGCCACTAATTCTGAAATGTTTTCATCAAGTTGCACAGTATGTTGCTTAAATAGAATTATTTAAGTTTTTTTAGCATTTATTTTATTGAATCTCAACCATTGAACCAAACAGGCTAGTCTTAATTAAGGTGCTGGTTTATTTTTTAAGTGATTTTTCAGTTATTAGGACATTATTGTCATCAGCAAAATGATATGTTTTTGAGAACCTAGGGCTGTGTTTAGGTCATTAATGTAGATAAAAAAGGAGAGGACCAAGAATAAAAAGTTTACTAATATTATATAACAGTGATATTGGTTGATATTTATATTGGTTAACATGATTTGTGTTCTTTTTTCAAGATTGGAATAATCCTAGCAATTTTTAATAGGTCAAGATATGTTCCGTACTTAAACGACTCATTAATTATAATAGTTAATGGATGAGTTATTATGAATACATTAAAAAAGAATACAACTGTTTTAAGAATAAACTCAATTAAATTAACAAATACAAGAACTATGCATGACACGTTGCACATCCATACACTTTCAGGAACCGGATTACACAGTTACAACAGTTAGTTCTTTTGATACTAAGATAAGTATACTTGTGGGAATGCTGTTGGGATCTGTGCTCTTTTTTTCATTGTGAATAAATAATTTTTTACTTCTTGTGGTGTAACTGAGGATATAAAAAATGAATTTCGATTACGAGTTCTTAAGATTGTATTTAAGAGGTGTGCTTTTGTAAATAATAATACAGGTGTACTTTTAGATGATTATAGAAGTGTACTTGTTGTAAATGAAAAGAAAATCTTATATAGTTGTTAATAAGTATACCTTATTTAAATTTAAATTTTACACTATACAAGCTCTTCGCTCAGTTTACTACTCGATAATTTTATTGGATAGTGATCAACAATATAGGGGAGACCGGGGCTAGTTGGCTCGGTTTTTACTCTATGAGCTCTGTAGCCCTAATAGCACACTTTTTTGAAAATATTAAAGTGTAGTCTCAAAGCGTATGAACTTGGGTAACTTATAAAAGTTTCATGGATTTACAAAAAAAAATTCTTGGGGCCTTACGGGGCCCTCAAAAAAAAAAAAAAAATTGCGCCAACTTACCCCACCACGGGGTAAGTTGACGCAAACTATAAACGTGATTATTAATGTACTATTAAGTGCAAAATTAATAGAAATTTTTTACCTATTAATTTTGGCAACAATTTAAGCTAATAATTTGATATTATTTTTAGCTTGTGCTAAATATTAGTACGTATAACAGCCAAAACAGCAGCCCTCTTTTTACCTGTTACAAAAAACCTAAAAAAAAAATTTTTATAATTTTTTTGTAAGAATAAGTTTTTTCAATATTGTTAAAAATTAAAAAAATTAAAAAAATTATTTTTATAAAAATAAATATTTTTCTCCATAGTAAATGCTATGAGCCAACTTACCCCGTAAAAATTTTGTCAACTTACCCCGAAGGCTTTTTTTTCAATAAACAGTCTATAGATCCTGAAAAACGGCAACTTTTAAAAAAAGTCAAACTGAATATAGTAAACCAATTGTGGCTAGAACTTTTACAATAATTTTTTTTCCATTTGACTAACTATTTTCTTTGTAAAGTAAAAAGGAAGCGATGTTTCAAAAGTTACGTTTTTGTCCAAAAAACACTTAAATCTTAATATCTCCCATGCGCATGCGCGAATCCTGACAATACTACATTGAATGATGAAACAGTCAATTAGGAAGATTCTGTGTAATTTTTATCACTTTCTGATGAAAGGCTTTAAAGATAAACGCAATTCGTCAACTTACCCCTGCGGCCAACTAGCCCCGGTCTCCCCTACTGCATTTAAAACAGACATTAATTTCTAGAATTCAACTTGGTTATGAATAGACCAGCATGTTTTTTATGTAAAACAGACAACTTCAAAATTAAAAAAACTACAATTTGACTGATTGTTACTTTATTATAAAAAAAAAGTTTGGTATCAAAAATATAATGACAGTATTCTTAAAATCAAAATGGCATCTTATGGTGCTATATTCATATTTGAAGAGAAGATATATATTAATGAATAAAAATAGTGTTTAAATATATTTTATAGTGAAACTATAAAATATTTAGATTTGAAAATGTGAATATTTTATTGTTTCGCTATAAAATATTCACATTTTCACAGTCAAACCCTTAGAAACTTGAATCTCCAGAAATATTACACTGCTTCCTAACTTGTATCATTGTTTTTAAATGTTGGAAATGAAGTTAAAAAAACATCAGAGCAAATACAAAGATTAAGCAAACTAAGTCGAACATGTTAATCTAAATATAAATATAATGCTATAATACCAACAAAAAATTATTATATAAACCTTTTATAATTTTCAAACGATTGGACAACTTTATTCTGATGATCAATGTCTGTTGATAGTTGCTCCACTAAAAGTATATGAATAAAATAAGCAATCAAATTTAACACAATAAATAAATAAGAACTTATCTTAATTAACTAGATTTTCAGAGCATTAACGAGGGTGTTTAAGCCGCCTTCTTTACCGATGTTCAACATATGATCGTAGTTGTCATCAAACCGTAGACAAGATTTTTTTTATGCCCATAGCGCAGGGATACAAAATACACATAGTATTTTGTGCCCCTGCGCAAACTGTGTTTTGTGCTTAGCGGTAAAAATTCTTCTATTTTATGAAAACCTTTCCTGCTGTGGTCATAGTTCTTTAAATTCAAAGAAGAATTGATGAAGAAAAAAGCTTTATGAGTTTGCTGTTGATATTGCATTTCACTGTATTAGGTAATTTTATTATTTTGTGAAATTTTTGTCCCAATATCATTCCATTACTGCTTAAAATAATTTTTTAATCAATAATATATTTCGTTTTTTGTTTAAACTGAAAAATGATTTGATCAAAATAATCTTCTATAGTAATGTTCACTTGATTAATCACAAACATCAAACAAAACACTTTATACAGAACTACTATATTCTAAACAATTTTACTAAATTGTCAATATTTAGCAGAGGACCATAATTCCAGAACTCATTTCTAAGATGTAACTAAGATGTAATGAGTAAGATAAAAAAATTAACTTGATACCTTAAATCCGTTGTAAAACAAAAATTACTGGAACTCAATATCAGCACAAAATTTTTTCATGCTTATAATATTTGTAAGTTTTTAAGTTAGATTTATAATATTTGATTTTTTACCTTATTACTTTCCTTATGTCATATTTTATTGGTCATTTTATTGAAATCGGAAGTATAAAATAAGCAACATTAACAGAACAACATTAACAGAACAACATAAACAGAGCAACATTAACAGAGATGACAAGACTATCTTTGAAGTACTTAATTATTTATTGACCAGTTGCAAACTTGTTGCAGCAATATTAAAAGCAGAGTTGAAACTTTGCTGTAGCTATTTTGAAAAATTATATTATAGTATTAAAAAGTTATAAATAAAATTTTGGTTAAAATTTTATTTTTTGAATAATTATATAATTAAAACCAGGGGTGTAGAATCGGAATAAAAAAGTACGGACTCCGACAACAGTTGTTGAAATTTTTTGAGTACGACTTCGACTCCTACTCCGACTTCAACTCCGACTGCGACTCCAACACCAAAGCAAAATTTTTGGAAAATTCTTTGAGTTCTTTAAAAAATATTACGCAATAAATTAAAAATTTTTTTTTGACAAATTTATGAAAAATTCTTTGAGTTTTAGTATGAATAAAAGGTTAAGTGAATATTTTATAAATGCACGTGCAGTATCGAAAGTTTTACTATTGGAGTCGGAGTCACAATTTTGTTTAGCGACTCCGACTCCACTAAAAATATCGTAACTCCACAACTCCGACTCTGATTATAACATATTTATATAATTATATAGTTGTAATATGCATATTTATATTAATAATAATGAAAAAAATACATTTTGGCGTACTTATAAAATCTACAGGATTCCAGTTTAAATGTGAAGGCATTCCAATTGACTCAAAAAACAATAAAACCTCTGAAGTTTTCCCATGAAATGCAACCTATATCAAGTTTTTTGCAATATTACTTACAAAATGATAATAAATTTACAATCATAGTTTGTTATGTAAAAACTACAAACCTTTCCATTACATAACAGCAACAGTTTATCAAACGTATGAAACACTTGACTAGAAGGCTGGTGAATAGTCATACATATTGCCCTATTTTGCTGCTTTGCAAGAGCTTTAAGTGTATTTATAAGACTGAAGGCTGATGAAAAATCTAATCCTGTAGTTGGCTCCTAAATTAGAGTAGTAGTAGTAGTAGTAGTAGTAGTAGTAGTAGTAGTAGTAGTAGTAGTAGTAGTAGTAGTAGTAGTAGTAGTAGTAGTAGTAGTAGTAGTAGTAGTAGTAGTAGTAGTAAAAACATACATCCATAATTATGCAAGCAGGATTGCTGATAAGTTCAACTCCAATGCTACAACGCTTTTTCTCACCTTTAAAAATTTAAAAAAATACTTAAATTATTAATTTACAAACAAATAATATTAACTTCTTTAATATTTATTGAAAAAATATGTTAATAAGAAAAATTGACCTCCTGAACAACCACGTCCAAAAAGCCCACCACCCATTTCTGCAAAAATAGAAAATATTTAAAAGTTTTTTTCTTGAAAAAATAATATAGCTTTAAACCTTAAAATTTAAACATTAAACAATGATCTGAACTACCAATTAAAAAACCTCTATCTAAAAAAAAAAAAATTACATATTTATAACTTTTACAACTTAAAACATTTGACAAATAGTTTTAATTTTACAACAACAATTCTACTTGTTAATTTATCTTGAAAAAACACTTTGTTTGACAACTGCAATGTTAGTTAAAGTCTAAATATAGTTAGTTTACTTTTTACAAATGGTAAGTTTCCTTAAGCAGTTAAGATCGCACAGAACATAAACTTTATAACTAAAATGTAATAAGAGCATTGACTGTTGACAATGACATTGGCAAATGACTGCTACTAACTTAAGTGCTGTATATATCAAAACTAAAGTTAAGTGCTGGTTATATCAAAACTAAAAAATGTTAAAATTATAAAATGATAATTTCCTTAACAATTACAAGAAAAAAGGTTATAGTACTGTAAAGTTTTAACTTTTTGTTAAAATAATAACACTGGTTCTTTTCTATTAAGAATGACATGATACCTGTGTTTTTGCATTTAGAAAGTCCAAGGTTTTCAATTACGATGTCAACAAGAGCTTTCTTTTGACTCCACTTCATGTCCTCTGGAATTCTGATTTTGCCAATAAACTTAAAAAGATTATAATTATACATAATTACGTCACTAGTTATAAAAAAAATTTATATATCAATAAATATTAACGAAGAAAGTTAAACCTGCTAGTGTAATACAAGGTAAATTTTTTTAAATATAAGGTAAATTTTTTTTTCAAAAACATAAAAAAAGCTATAACAAAAATATAGCTTATCTTTATTAGTTTATAATAGACAGGACCGTCCCGAACGGGAGATGTAGGGCCTGACCAACTTCCCTCCCTCAAGCTGTCAAACATGCATTTAAATCACCACATTTGAGTCACCACATTTGAGTCACCACATTTAACATTTGAGTTGGCAAGTTTTGCACTAGTTTGTAAATTTTTTTTTTTTTTTTTTTTTTTTTTTTTTTTTTTTTTTTTTTTTTTAAGTTTTTTAAGTTTACATTTGTTGTCGTAGTAAATAAATTACTTTCACAAACACAAACAAGGTTTCTGAAAGAAGATCGTACTGATCTTATCATCAGAACCTTTTACAAACGTGTGTATATAAACTACATCAAAACATAATCAACAAATAAAACGTAATAAACAATAAAAGTTCTAAAGAAAATATAAAGTTAAAAAAATCTGACTACATCATCCATTAAGATAATTAAATTTTTCAGTTTATATTTAAAAATGGGAAAAGTAAAATGCATGTTAAAATTGGACAAAACAATTTTATTCCAAAGATAAGGTGCACGATATGCAATGCAAAACTGATTAAAACTGGTTCGACAAAAGGGCTCATATATAAAATTATTGTTTCTAAGTGTATATTTATTTATTGGCTTCAAACAAAAGAGATCTTTGAAAATGGGTAAAGATATGTCATTTTTCCACATATACATAAAGCACAAAACATTAAAAACATTAAGCTCATAAATATTGAGAACTTTCATTTCAATAAAAAAGGGTTTGGAGTGAGTGTATCGATCCGCAAAATTTATTAAACGGATCGCATGTTTCTGACGGCGATAAAGGCATTTTAACTTACTTTTTTCAGTGCTTCCCCATGCAACATTAGCATAATTTAAATAACTATGAATTAATGAGTAGTAAAGTTGAGTTAGACTTTTTTTACATAAATATGTTCTGGTTTTATATAGAATACCAATATTTTTAGAAATTTTTGTACCAATATAGTCTATATGCTTTTTCCATGTTATGTTTTCATCAAGAAAAACACCTAGAAATTTTGTCACATTATGTCTTTTTATTTCAACGTCATCAATAAAAATTTTAGGCAAACTTTGGGGTAAATAAGCTTTTTTAGAGACTGGGTGGAAAAGAACCCAATTTGTTTTTTTAATATTAAGAGTTAGTTTGTTGCATTTAAACCATTTGGATATACTTTTAAGTTCATTATTCATAGTATAAAAGAGTTTGCAAATGTCATTATTGGAAAAGAATAAGTTAGTATCATCAGCAAACATGATACTCATTAAATTTGAGGCTTTATTTAGATCATTTATATAAATCAAGAACAAAAGTGGTCCCAAAATGGAACCTTGTGGAACGCCATATGAAATGTTTAAAAATTTATTTGGATGATCATTATTGCTGAAAACAAATTGTTTACGGTTGTATAGATAACTTTTGAACCATTTTATAACTTTGCAATTTATTCTATAATATTTTAGCTTTTGTAGTAAAATTTCGTGATCGACAGTATCGAATGCTTTCGAAAGGTCGATGAAAACACCTAATGTATATTTACAATTTTCAAAAGAATTAGAGATTTCACGAACAAATTGGATAACTGCATGTTCTGTGGAATTATTTTTTTTAAAGCCGAATTGATAGTTGTATAAAAAATTATTAGAATGAAGATAATTGTATAATCTATTGTACATAATACGTTCTAGTATTTTTGAAAATGTGGAGAGGACAGAGATAGGGCGATAATTACTGATAATTGTTTGATCACCTTCTTTTAAAATTGGAGTAACTTTAGCAATTTTTAGTTGTTCTGGAAAAACTCCTTGGCGTATAGATGCTCCATATACTTTAAATAGGATATCTTTTAGGTATTCAAAACATTCTATGACTATATTACCGTTTATATCATCTGCTCCGGTTGATTTATTTTTTTTAAGAGTTTTGAAAGCTTTTTCAAAATTGCAAACATTGAAGCTCTTTTTTTTTTTTATGGTGTCTTTAGTTGGCAAAAAATACATACAACCTTTCCCCCTCCCCTACCACATAAGAGATCTCTTCGGGACGCCCGTGATAGTAGATTTATCATTATTTAACAAAGCTAAACCCATTCATGTATTACACTATTTATCTTTTTTACTTCTTCTAAAAAAAGATTTTTGCCCACTAGAAATATTTCGTTTTTTAATAATTAATTTTTATTGCTGATTCCTAAAATAATATAAATTATTATGTATCAACCAGTGATATTTAAGTTAAGGTTAATTAAAATTAGAAGTAAAAATAATCGATTTCGTTAATGTGAATGAAAACTGAAATTGTGAATTATTCGAAGAACAAAAATTGAATATCAACATCATAAACAAAAATAGAATTAAAATTATTTATTATTAGTTGTGTAACATAGTATGTTCAATAGCACAGCTAGATTATTGCTATCGTTTTGGTAATTGAGGATTATTCCACTATAGTCCTAAACTTTGGAATATACTTCCAAATAATATCCGTGACAAATAAAAGTACAACTAAAAAACTAAAATCTTATTTAATAATGAATGGTAAACTATTCCACCAGAAAAATCTTGAATGTTAAAATAAAATCTCTTGAACATTAATATTAAATTTTTTTTTTTGTTATTTTATGTTATGTTATTAAAACACAAAGTTTGCAATTTTTTTCTGATATTACTATTTTATTTCATTAACGCTTGGCTGTATGCCTGTGTCAAAAATTGAACAAAAAAAGAAATCAGGGAATATGTGAATCTCGATCCACAGACATCCCGTTTACAAAGTCAACGCCTTATCCAAATATGCTAAACGCGCGTATAAATATTAAAACAATTAATATACTTATTTATAAAAATATTATTCATTTTTCCATTTAAAAAATAACTTTAATTAAAATTAACTAAATTAATTGACTTATTACAAAACTAATTATTGAATTATTGTATTGTCATCAAGCAAGAGCATGTATGCAAAATTTGAAGAAAATCTATCATCAGGAAGTGACTCAAAAATTGATTGCAAGATTTGATCCTCATACACAACCCTAAAAAAGAAACAGAGACAATAAGATAATAAAAGAATTGGTAAAAATGAGTTTAAAAAGGCTTTTGGCTGGTAGAAAACGTGAAAGTTATGTATGGAAAGTTTTTATTTATCATGAAAAACCCGACACATCACATGCTTAGTTCAGAACAAGAATAATGAGGGCGCGTGTGGCACAACTCTTGCAGGAGGAATTTCCAGTAAATTGGTAACGCATATTCAGAGAATACATAAAGAGGCACAAAATTTACATTGAAAAAAAGAAAATGAAGATCCAAAAAACAATTTTTAAAGCGTAAAATTGATGATAATTATTCTACATCTTCCCAAAATAGTGAAAGAACAAAGATCTTGTCAATAGGTGAGTGCTTTGAACGCCGAATAACTATATCGGCCAACGGAATCAAGTTAACATCAATTGCTTCAGCATAGCGTGATTGAAATGATTGTAAATACCAGCTGCCCACTGGCATTACTAGATCAGCTGTCATTTTGAAGGATGATAAAAAAAGTTTGACCTAAAATTTAAATTGCCAGGTAATTAACAACTAACTTTGTAAAATATTGTCTTAAATTCAATAATGCTTAACAATTTTTAAATGTTATAAACTAGCCTTTATCTAGTTTATCTAGCTGATAAACGACATTTTCATCTACAACCTGCAAAACTAAAAGACTTTGTGTACTCAAAATAACAATTTGTGTTAATGGTTGGACGAAGAAGGATCTCACAGCATTGTTCCTCAAAATATCAATTTCTATAATACCAAACACGACATGATTTCCTAAATTTGACGGCATTCCAACATCCGCACACGGATAAGATGCTTTTGTCCTTGACTATTGGGGTATTAGAAAAGATCAAGTTATGTTGATTGTTTCAGACAATGGATCTAATATGGTTAAAGCTATCTGACAGGAAGAGCTTCGGCTTCAAAACATTTCCTCATTTTTAGAACATTTTACTGTATAATTAGATATACTTCAAACCGATACCCAATCCCTTTTACAGGTTCTACCATCTATACTCAACTTGGAATGCCATTTGCAAGAACATCATACAAACAAGACTTTGACAGCTAATCTTCTTAGAGATCTATGTTGAAGCTTTAAATCAATTCTTCAGCCTGGCTCGGCTACGTTTAGTCCACTTCCATCTGCTGCATGTTTGTTAGATCTAACCGTTGCTGTATTTATTCTTACGCCGGAAATGGGCACTTTACTCCATGCAGCAGAGATGTATATAACAAGTGTTTATGGTGACATTTCAAGTCAGTTGTATCTTGACAATTAACTTGAAATATCACTATTTCAAGTCAATATTAATATATTTGGCAGACATAAAGTGTAATGACACCCTGCCAGGTAATGGCTCGCTCTTTTGAAAACAAAACAAATGCAAGTATAGCAAGACTTTAATGTTGGCTGAAGATTTGTTGTCCGCCCCAGTATCACAGGCACTTGTATAAATAATTTTTCACCTTTGTGAAATTTTAACTGTTGGGTGCCATAATCGAATGAAAACATCATCAGAGATGAAAGTTTTTATGAAACTAAACAAGAATATGTGATTGATGAATTGTGAATATGTAAAATTCAAGCTTATATTTTCTTTTCAAGAATATCTCAATTCATTTGAATTGTTAAATGAATGTTTAACAATTATTGTTTGCTTATTTATATTGTACATATTACATAAGGAAGTTGTTTTAATATTGTTGTCTTGAAACTTTGATAAGGATATCTAACATGACATTATATTATCTAATAGACATTGTT